TAATTTTTGCACCTCTGATATGGTGCCTCGAAAATGGTACCCTCTGAGAGATACTGAAAAGCTCCACTTATTCCAACCATTGTGCACTAAATAAAAGTCAGCAATGCTTAATTTCAAAATGATTCAATCACAAACTGAAATTTTATTTCATTTTTGCAACTCTGATATCGAAAATGGTACTATCTGAGAAATACTGAAAAGCTCCATTTTTTCCAACCATTGTACACTAGATAAAAGTCAGCAACGCCTAATTTCAAAATGATTAAATCACGAATTGAAACTCTATTCATTAATACTAATATTTAATTTTTGAGAGGTGGTGAAAATATTATTACTAAAAATCGACCTAACCCATACCTAACCATTGTACACTAGATAAAAGTCAGCAATGCTTAATTTCAAAATGATTAAATCACGAACTGAAATTCTATTCATTGATGCTCTTTTTAATTTTTGCACCTCTGATATGGTGCCTCGAAAATGGTACCCTCTGAGAGATACTGAAAAGCTCCACTTATTCCAACCATTGTACACTAGATAAAAATCAGCAACACCTAATTTCAAAATGATTAAATCACGAATTGAAATTCTATGCATTAATACTAATATTTAATATTTGAGAGGTGGTGAAAATATTATTACTAAAAATCGACTGTTTCGCCTCTAAAGTGACCTCTCGAGCACTGTTCGCTTCACGAGTACGCCCTCTCGCGTTCTTGAGCACAAGCGACGTACTAATTGTCTACTTACACTTTACGATCAATATTAATTCAGCGGCTTCTTGACATTTGTTACATAATTGGCGCTTTTGTTATGATAAGTATTAACGAAGTTAGTGCCTGCTCGGTTACTTTCCTGCGAACACGAGACCGAAGTATTTTTTAATCCAAAGTCTCGTTCGGAAAACAGATGACTTAGAGCGTCAGGAAGGGAATTCGTAGGCCCACTTAATTCGTAAACTGTTTCGAGACTAATTGTGCGAGTTCATTTAGAGTACGATTGTGGACTAAATGGGTATTGATATTTGATTATACGCGTTCGATGCTCTAATCGCGGAATATACGCAGTACTAAATCCGCCATTGTTGTTCAGAATTATGGCCACAGCTTTTATTCCAAAAATTGTTTAGAATTTGTCTGGAATTTTTTATTTATATTTCTTGGAGCTATGAATGACTTTATGCACGCGATTTATACAGTATTCGACGGAGTCTTATTTGTTTCCTTAATGACTTTCTCCAAGTTTCTTTGTTCCAATCTTGCTTCTTACTAACGAGTGACCATTCTTTCCTCGGGACAATACAAACGAGATTCTTGGTAAAACCCGGGATCCATTAAAGTTTCATTGCTCGGACGCAAAAGAATATTATTGGGAATCGAAGAATCTTTGTAGCATTTATTGCTGAATAAATAAAAAAACAGCTGGAAATCTTAAGCGTTCCAATCCAATATCTTCCCAACTGCTTTTGCTTTTGTTTCGAATTGCTTCCACTTGCTGGCAAACTACAACAAAATTCCTATACAAATTGATATTCCATCTATAAAAGTTCGTTGAAACATTGAAAATGGACGAATATTACTAGCAATCTACAGATAAAATATATACTGTGTGAAAAGAATTACACAAAGTGGGACAAATTCTTGATGACATTTTAAATAATGAATAATTGATGAACTTTTCAAACCAGAACTAATTTTTTTTTATCATTTTATATCTCAATTTGTTGAATCAAATATGATTGTCCATTTCTCTGTGAAACTGTGTATATCTAATTAATAATAGTCGAAATGGTGTGTAGTAAGAAAAGGATTGTTCTTGCATAGATTTGGGGGTAATTTACGTGAGTTATGTAGAGTTTCTTTGTTTCGAACGTGTGTATGTAAACTCTCCAAGGATAGTGTATCTTCTTAGCGGTTCGGGTACACCGCGATGTAACATACATCGTTTACATTAATTCGTTGTGTGTTTTCCTTCGCCGGCGTGGCGCTCTTTAAGACCCAGGATTACGTATGCAAACACCTGTCGCTAATGCACGCGGCCAACTGAGCCTTTTTCACGTAACCGGTCCTAGAGAAGTAGAAATTGCGCATAATTGCTATTCTAATACACCGACTGAGGTGATGGTACAAAAAAAAAACTAACGTTTTTCCAGCGATCGTCTGTTAAGATCAACAAACGCTGAAACTCTTTCGTTGCTTCTTCGTCGAAGACGCTTGGAACTTGTATCCATCTATGGAGCGTCTCTAAATCTACAACAGTGCCTCTCAACCTTTTCAAAACACGAACAAGCAAATTTTATTCCGAAATCGCGAGGTTCTGATTTGTAAAAAATAACAATAGTGATGATACTAAGCTTGCGAGATGCACTATGAAGCGTCTCTAAATCTACAACAGTGCCTCTCAACCTTTTCAAAACACGATCAAGCAAATTTTATTCCGAAATCGCGAAGTTCTGATTTTTAAAAAAATAACAATAGTGATGATACTGAGCTTGCGAGATGCACTATGGAGCGTTTCTAAATCCACAACAGTGTCTCCCAACCTTTTCAAAACACGATCAAGCAAATTTTATTCCGAAATCGCGAGGTTCTGATTCTTAAAAAAATAACAATAGTGATGATACTAAGCTTGCGAGATGCACTATGAAGCGTCTCTAAATCCACAACAGTGTCTCTCAACCTTTTCAAAACAGGATCAAGCAAATTTTATTCCGAAATCGCGAGGTTCTGATTTTTTAAAAAATAACAATAGTGATAATATTAAGCTTGCAAGATGCACTATGGAGCGTCTCTAAATCTACAACAGTGCCTCTCAACCTTTTCAAAACACGATCAAGCAAATTTTATTCCGAAATCGCGAGGTTCTGATTTTTAAAAAAATACCAATAGTGGTAATACTAAGCTTGCAAGATGCACTATGAAGCGTCTCTAAATCTACAACAGTGCCTCTCAACCTTTTCAAAACACGATCAAGCAAATTTTATTCCGAAATCGCGAGGTTCTGATTCTTAAAAAAATAACAATAGTGATGATACTAAGCTTGCGAGATGCACTATGAAGCGTCTCTAAATCTACAACAGTGCTTCTCAACCTTTTCAAAACACGATCAAGCAAATTTTATTCCAAAATTGCGAGGTTCTGATTTTTAAAAAAATACCAATAGTGGTAATACTAAGCTTGCGAGATGCACTATGAAGCGTCTCTAAATCTACAACAGTGCCTCTCAACCTTTTCAAAACACGATCAAGCAAATTTTATTCCGAAATCGCGAGGTTCTGATTTGTAAAAAATAACATTAGTGATAGTACTAAGTTTGCAAGGAATTTTGAAAATACAATAACGCGAAAATTAAATCAGAAATGGGGAGTGATGAAATTTAAATTCGTGTAAAACTGTTAACTGAAGCTTGCACTGCTTTATTTGAGAATTTCTAACATGAAATATCTTTGGACTTAATAAAGAGATCGCGCGTTAGCGTGACAAAAACTAAATCGCGAGTTAATTAACCTTCTTTCTGGTGAATTAATCAGTACCAAGGAAAAATCTTGCAAATTGTTATGTAAAGAGTATACACGGTTCAACGATCAAAACTGCAGCAGTTTGAAACGTTAAATTGAATGATGATTAGTCAAATTACACCAGCTTGATTCAGACATTTTTTCGACCAATTCCAATACCTTTAAAAAAAAAAAATAGATAATTATTGATGTGAAAATTTCTTTCTAGAGTCTAATAAACACAGAACCAAGTTCAGCTTGCTACGATCAGCATTCGAGGCTACACGCCGAAAGATTTCAAAGGAGAAGATATCAGTGTTTGCACCGAATATCTAATCACCCAAGCGGTATTGCGGGAAACAGTTCAAAAACGCGATACGCGCATTAGGATTACACGCTCTCGTACATAATGAAAATCTCCTCGAGATTTGTGTATCTGCTCGACGCGGTTTCAAGAACAAACTTTTCCGAGCTTTCATTGCCTAGTGACTCATCGTATCCGAACGACGATAATATATTCTATTCCAGCGAGAAACATCCAACCCGTTAGTTTACAATACTAAATATACACTGCAATATTTAAAAAATTGTACAAACAGAAAAACTTAACGCTAGAGGTAACTTGTGATAAAAATTGTAAAAAATTTACTGTACTCTTCTATAATACGTTTTCATTTCTTTGGTACTGTTGAGAACAAGCATTGAATGGTATTTATAATGAAAATTTGTATCCATTGGTGAGTCCCTTGCAAAGGTCAGTGCTACCTGAGGACACTCGTTTATTGCACCTCCTGAACGTCTCCTTTCTTTTTTCTGAGTCTCAAGCTTAGCAGACAATCGTCAAGAACAGTATTTTCGTTTTGTAAAACTACATTAATTAAATACACACTTAGGTCGTATTGGAATTGGGTGAAAAAGCAGTACTCTTTATGAGTAAAAGTGAAACTTTATTATATGGTTTGGAAGGACGTCTTTACTCTGTTAAACCTGAACAAGAAGTGAGGCTTAGATCCCCTAAAACCATTGCCTGCATCATGTTTATTTCCCTGGCCCTCGACGACAAAGACAGACCCAGGCCCCTGGGCCCAATGGTGCCAATACAGTCTTCGTATGCAGACAATGCACAGATTCGACTTTGTAAAGGATTATTTATTAATAATCCAACAGGTCGAAACTCTGCTTATTCAGCAGGTACAAATAAATACACCATAAGTGAGGGTAGTTCTAACGTTAAAAGTCTACATACTAAGGTAAGATTCGATCCAAGAGTAACTGGGTTAAGGGATGACGAGGTTGAACTCAGCTCCAAGTTTCTTACCTAATTATCAAACCCCCTTGTTGCTCGTTAATTATTTTCACCGGGTTCCTAAGAAACTTTCATAATTAGAAAGAGAAGAAAGCCCCACTGATTACGGGACAGAGGATTTCTTTCGAAGTCGCGAAACAATGGTACAGTCGTGGAAGCAGGGGGACGTAGAAACGTTTTAATGAACATTCAACTCACCCGAGGGTGGACAGAAATCCCGAGACGCTACCCTCCGCGTAGAGGCTGACGATGTCGCCCAGATGGAGGAAGCTCGCCGAGCCGAGTATCTCGCCCATCTTGACGCTGTTGTCTTCCTCGTGTCTTCTCTGGTGCCTCGAAGTCGGAGATGATCTGCCTTTTAACCGAGTGAATTATTCATGGCTACACCTACGGAGGGAGAAAACGATCGTTAATACCCGCCCTGGTAACCGAACGTAGTTTGCGCGGGATAAACCGGAGCGCTGTTTGCCCGCTAATAGGAACCTCGCTCGCGGGGAGATAGCTCGACGCTTGAAAACGACGGAAGAATGCTGGCGCGAACGTATGTACTCGGTAACGCGCTCGACCTTGTTTCCCACTTACGTACACCTTTGTGCTCGATCATACTTTCATTTGCTTATCGGATCGACGCCGTTGCGGCTCGAAATGATAGCGCCCCATTCGTCTTGATCCGACGCGCGGACGTACGATTATTGATCTTGGGGCGCTCGAAACTTTCGAAACACGCACGGATATTGAAAAGTTTCGAATCGTTGCGAAAAAATTCTTTTTTATTGCGGGGGTCAATTTTTTCGTCAAATTTTTCGACAAAATTAAACAATTTCAAATCGTTCTAAAAAAAATATTTTTAGTTGCAGGGGTCAATTACAATCAGTTTTGCTGAATAGACATACCCTCGAAATCCTACTCAGTTTCGAGATAAAAATTCGAGTAGGGGACAAATTTTTCTACAAAATTAAGAAATTTCAAATCACTTTGAAAAAATTATTTGTAGTTGCAGTAGTCAAATACAATCATTTTTGGTGATTAGACATACCCTCGAATTCCTAACAATTTTCGAGAAAAAAATTCATTACTGAAAATATAATTTCAGGCCAGAAAAGGCAGTCAAAAATTTCGTGCGTATCATTAAAACGTCATAACTTTTGAAGGAATTGGAGAATTTTGAAGTTTCATAATGCAACGCGTATTTTAGTGGAAAATATGTAGAGGTCCCCAAAAAATTCAAAAAGTAATTCCTTAACACCGTAAAATGAGAAAAACCACACAAAAATGGTCCAATTTTCAAATGACCATAACTCCTAGAATAGTGGATATATTTCAATGAAATTTTTTTCTGAAGTGAAACCCATGGGTACCTACAAAAATGTATTATATAACTTTTCTATAGGGCGTCAAACAAATTTTTAAGAAAAATTGACAGGGGTTTCGTTGCTCAAATTTTTTGGCGAAAAAAAAAAATTTCAAATCATTCTGGAAAAATTATTTTCGATTACAGGGGTTAATTACAATCATTTTTGGTGAATAGACATACCCTCGAAATCCTATCCACTTTCGAGAAAAAAATTCAGTAAGGACAAATTTTTCGTCGAAATTAAAAATTTTCAAATCATTCTGAAAAAAATATTTTTAGCTAGAGGGGTCGATTACAATAATTTTTGGTGAATAGACATACCCTCGAAATCCTATCCACTTTCGAGAAAAAAATTCAGTAAGGACAAATTTTTCGTCGAAATTAAAAATTTTCAAATCATTCTGAAAAAAATATTTTTAGCTAGAGGGGTCGATTACAATAATTTTTGGTGAATAGACATACCCTCGAAATCCTATCCACTTTCGAGAAAAAAATTCCATTAGTGGACAAATTTATCATCAAAATTGAAAAATTTCAAATCATTGTAAAAAAATTATTTTCGATTGCAGGGATCAATTACAATTATTTTTGGTGAATAAACATACCCTCGAAATCCTATCCACTTTCGAGAAAAAAATTCCATTAGTGGACAAATTTATCATCAAAATTGAAAAATTTCAAATCATTGTAAAAAAATTATTTTCGATTGCAGGGATCAATTACAATTATTTTTGGTGAATAAACATACCCCCAAATTACTACGTACTTTCGAGAAAAAAAATTCTTTACCAAAACTATAATGTCTGACCAGAAATGTTTAAACTTTATTTTTAGTCTCACTTCCTCTTCTATCCATTTATTCTATGCTATAAAATCGACAGTATTTAATATCCCCATTAAACAAGAATAAGAATCCTACCATAGATCTTATTTATCATGAAACCTCAATTTTACAACACCTCTATAGAAATTAATGTTTCCAATCGTTTCGCCATTTCATTCCACTTTGAACGAGAACGTGTCATCGATGGGACACTTGCTCTATAAAATTGACATTTAATATTCCCATTACACAACACAGATCGTTCAACGTGCCCATTAACACGCGATGCAATCATTATCAGTCACTCCGCGTATTCCATAATCTCTCCTTATAGCTTCCAAGTGCTTTGTCGTCTCCTATAGAGTGGTCTTATCAATGGAACCGAAGTTTCTCCGTCGATGGTACGCGAATCGCGTAATTCACGCGAGAGGCACGTGTCGCGTTCGATAAAACGAAACCGTTTAGCCGAGCGAGAGGCTAATCAAAATCAAGCAGAACGACCTAAATGGTCGTTCGGGGCTCGTCGTTGGCCGCCATGTTGAACGTCGACGAGTCAGTTAACCGTGAAACGATCCATAAACAGACGGCAAACCGAAAGGTAAATCGCGTTTCCCTGTCGAATAAACGTGACAGATTAAACGTGGCCGGGTCACTTTCAATTACGAAACGCTTTCCCGTGCGTAATTACGTCCATCGGGGGCAATTTTCGCGCCACCGGGTACACCATCGCTCTAAACTCGATTCTATCAGATTCTGCTGGAGATTGCCATCTTTTCTCGACCGAATCCGCCACGAAAACGACACGACCGGAAATTGGATCGCGTTGTGTTTCCCCTCCGCGAAACGAACACGATCTCCAAAGGCATTCCACGGGTTTCAAAGGATCGAGAACGATCGTTCGATGGAACGCAATCACACCCGTTCCTCTGCGTTTGGTCGACAAACATCGATAACATTTTTCTACAGAAATGGATGATGTTGCATCGAGATTTCTTTTTTAAAGGATCTATTATTTTATTAACGTTCCAGAAGTCCTATTGATGAGAAATGAAAAAGCAAAGGTCTACTAACGAAAAATCGAGCGAGCGCTTGCGAGAGGAATCATCATTTGTCTCCCTCTAGCGGCGAAACGAGAAATCAATCGGAAAAAATAATATTTTAATAATAACTAACCACAGAAAATCTTCCTTAAATCCTCCTCTATAAGTAAAAACAACTATAATATAACAAATTTTTAAATATCATTGTCTCGAAAACGAAGCTTTATAAGAAATATTTTATTCCACATTTTCGACTCATTTCACGCGTAGAGTTCTGTTTTCTGCGGCCACTTCCGGTGTTCTATACCTGTGTTTTTCTTGCAATTAGTGATTAAACGTCCGTATACGAGAATGAAACGAATGACGGCGTAATAATATCAATCAAATCGTATCGACGTGTTTCGCTAAATCGTCGTCCATTGAAGTGTCGCGCGGCGGCTCCGAATAAACAAGATTTAATTACCCGACAATGCGGCTACAAATTGCCGGATGGAGCTGTCGAGCGATGGAGATAGACGTAGACAATAAACGTCGAACGATGCGTTTCGGATTGACGCGTCTTCCGCGCGGTTATCGAGCCGGAAACTGCAATCGCGAACGAAAGTCGAGCCGCGTTATTTTCCATCGGATCGACTCGCACGTAACGCGTGATTCCGCAAATGGGATGATTTATTATTTCCTATTCGTTGGAGCACGACGAGCTCGCCGACAAATATTTTCTGCTCTGCGACAATATCATCGATCTCTTCTGCAAAACTGAGCCCACGACTCGATGGCGCTGTTTACATCGAAGCTAAGGTCGCGGGTCAATTTATTTTCAGAATTAGCTGCCATAGTCTTTCCTGGCGGAGGACGGCGATCAAGGATTCCCGCCATTGTTGCGATTTTAACCCTTAAGTACCGGGGGAATTTATAGCAAATCACCACTGAAGGGTAGATTGTGTTCGATGTGAACGAATTTGTATTAAATTGGGAATGAAATTAAATATGTTATTGAAATGATTCGAGACAAGAGAAATAATTAGTTTTTTTTGCGAGCATGTATGAATAAATTTTACGAAAGTTAAATAGTTGAAATTGATTAATTATTGTAATTAAATCGTACGTCAAGAGTTTCCTCCTCAATGTCTACGAATAACATTGTATGATGTACGAAGTATAATATAATCTCAGAGAACGAGGAAATATAAGTTCATAGATAATCAATGGTATACCAAGAAACTGATTAAAATATAGATTAAAGATGACCAAAGATAAATAGTAAAAATTATACAAGAGTATATAAATATAAATATGTAAAGGGTAAACATAAATATAGAATAGTATATCGATAACTTATAATATGAATATTGTATTCCATGTACTGTGCACAGTTGGAAAGATGGCAAGTGAAAATTGTACAAGAATGTATAAGTATAAATATGCAAAGGGTAAACATAAATATAGAATAGTATATCGATAACTCATGAATATTGTATGAATATTGTATTCCATGTACTGTGCACAGTTGGAAAGATGGCAAGTGAAAATTATATAAAAATGTATAAGTATAAATATGCAAAGGGTAAACATAAATATAGAATAGTATATCGATAACACATAGTATGAATATTGTATTCCATGTAAAGTAGATGATAAATGGTGTTATTACAAAGCCAATAGTGCTAGTATCGCACCCAAAAAATATAGAATAGAATAGAATAGAATAGTATTCCATATACTGTGTACAGTTGGAAAGATGGCAAGTGAAAATTATATAAAAATGTATAAGTATAAATATGCAAAGGGTAAACATAAATGTAAAATAGTATATCGATAACTCATAGTATGAATATTGTATTCCATGTAAAGTAGATGATAAATGGTGTTATTACAAAGCCAATAGTGCTAGTATCGCACCCAAAAAATATAGAATAGAATAGAATAGAATAGTATTCCATGTACTGTGCACAGTTGGAAAGATGGCAAGTGAAAATTATACAAGAATGTATAAATATAAAAGTACAAAGGATAAACATAAATATAGAATAGTATATCCATAACTCATAGTATGAATATTGTATTCCATGTACTGTGCATAGTTCGAAAGATGGCAAGTGTAGTTGATTCACTCATTTTCACATTGTACGTTTACTTTGACCAAAGAAGTCATTTTTACTGAACTCAGAGC